GGGCCAGCGCTGCCATCTGTACCAGTGCAGGTTGACACAGAGCACAAGTTCTTCATTCTGAGTCCCTTACCTGCTTTCTTTGGGTGGAATGTTCCACCAGGACGGAGGCAGCCAAACGGTTCTCATGGGCTCCTTTGTTGGGCATGGTACTCTTGGTTTGTAAGGGAGGTCGTAGCCATTTTCAGAACTGACTTGCACAGCAACCCTGTGAGTACCATGAATGGGAATTTTCCTGTATCACAGGTTTACTATTTGCCAGACACTGAGCAAAGTACTCCATATGTATTATATATCACTTCCCTGAATAAGGAAGTTTTGACTCAATTTTATAGATGAGAAAATTGTGATTCAGAGAAATCACAATTGAGCAAGGTCTCCTAGCTTATATGTGGTAGCATGAGACTATACCCAAGTCTTCCTGACCTTCAGTCTTTGCTGCTTCTGTGTGATATATTTTTACAAGTAGTGGCCAAGTCCAGTTTATAGATGAGTAAACTGAGGGTCCATAAGAGGATGTGGACATTCCAAGGTCACACAGTGAGTAATTCTGAATTCAGAACCTATGTCCCGAGTGCTCTGAAACTGTCCCCATCTCCATTTGCTCATTCTCAGGGTGAAGGAGGTGGGGCTGGTTGGTGTTGTGCTTGTGACATCACCCTAGCTGCTACCGTGCCTTGGGTGAGGCCCCCAAGCCCTTTATAAGCCCAGCCTGAGAGGTCTGTTTCAGTAGTCAGTGGCACAATGAGCCCCTGAACACTAGAATTATGCTGTGGCTAAGTTCTTACAATGAAATTCCATCTGTAATGGAAGCCACATGGTCAGCGACTCAGCTGGAGTGGGTGGGAGCTGAGCTCAGGGCAGGCTGGGGAGTGAAGACAAGGACCCTGTGCACCATGGTGGGGGGGCGGGGGGACCAGAGCCACTGGCCTGGGCTCAAATCAAACATCGAGGCCAGGGGCTAAAGAATCGGCAGGTCGGGCCGGCCCATGTCTCACTCGGGAGAGTGTGGTACTGGTAACACCAAGGCCCCGGGTTCGGATCCCATATAGGGATGGCTGGTTAGCTCACTGGGTGAGCATGGTGCTGACAACACCAAGTCAAGGGTTAAGAACCCCTTACCTGTCATCTTTTTTTTTAAAAGAATCGGCAGGTCACTGAGCTAAAGGGACCCTGAAGCTCAGTGCCTGCCAAAACAGGGGGTCCCTCTGCCACCTCCTTCTAGAATGTTCCTGTACTGAGAAATCTGCACCTGAAATTGCCTAGGTAATTTGACCAGGCATAAGAGAGGCTGGGTAGGGGCTAATTAGGTCTTTGCTACTCCTGCTGCTTTCCACCCACAGTTTTGAAGTCATTCTGCATTTACTTTGAATCTTAGCTGCACTACCTTGAGCAAACAATCTCCTGTCTCTGTGCCTCAGTTTACTAACTTAACATAGGACTACAATGTCTAACACAAATAGTCGTAAAAGTAATCAAAAGAGTGTATATCAAGTGTTTGGTCCAGATGGAAAAGGGGTTGAGGACCCAAAGCATAGTTTGCAGAATGGACATTCTGGGGCAGAAGGTCATTCATTCATTCATTCATTCATTCACTCATTCCTTTATTCATTCAACATTAAATGTACACTTGCCAAATGCTTTTGACAATAACGATGCCTAACAATCTGTGAGTAGTTACCATGTGCCCATTACTATAGTAAGTACTCTATAAGCATCTTATTTAGCCCTCATAATGACCCAATGAGGTGGCCCTTGTTTAATATTGAATATTGCCCTTGTTTAACCCATGAGAAAAGCAGGGCTGTGAAAGATAAAATGACCCAGTCAAGGACACAGTGTCTAAGTAGAACCTGGAGTAAAACCATGTCAGTCTGAGTCCAATTCTTAACCACTCTCCCAAATACTGCTGGTAGTCTCTTGAGGCAAAGGATGGGGCTTCCTGACTTTCAGGAGCTCCCAGTTTGGATTTATGAGCCTATCGAGGACTGCAGGGGCTACAAGGGATGGGTTGTTGAGATGCAGGGGGAGAAGGAAGGGGCAGTAGTGGTCACAGTGGACGAGTTGAAGTTGGTTAGGCCTCCTCTTTCCCAGATCAGCATTGGTCTTGGAATCTGATAACAGGATCAAACAACCACAGGGCTGAGTCAGACAAGGAGATGCCCCCAAGGGCATCAGTGGGCAAGAATGAAAAACTTCCTTGGAGGGCAGCCTCAGGCTGTGCCCGATCACGATCAGGCTTGTGTCCTCTTCATGCACTCTCACCTCCTTTCCCTCTTTCCCTCTGCCCCTCTTCGGTTGGTGAGCATCCCTACACTCTGGCTGTCCAATAGCCCATGGCTGTGCAGTGGACACCTGAGGTCTGGTCACAGCTCCACCACTTCCTGGTCTGTGGAACCCAGCTAGACCTGGGATTAAATCCTGACTGTGTGACTATGAGCAAGTTACTTAACCTCTCTGAACCACCTTTGCCTCGTTTATATTCCCATCACTTAGGCTTGTCTTGAAGATGAAATAAAATAGCATTACATTAACGTGGTAAGGAGAAGGTCAGCTATGGTGTTTATCAAGGGTTAGTGTTTTGCCCAATCCTTTTCTCTCTTTCCTCTTCTTTTCTGTTATCTTTCTCCTTCTCACCCCTCTTCCTTTCCTCTCTGTGTCTCCTTCCTTTCTTATTTCTGATACAAAACAACAACAACAGCAGCAGCAACAACAACAAAAACAGACAAGTAATACCATAATTTGTAAACACAGAGCACTCACAATTGTATGTTCTGTGGAGGCAAAAACGATCTGCTCTTGTTCTTCTAGGGCTCCAGAGGTGATAAACTATATATACACATGCACATTTGACAGACTGTACATACATACACATGTATACATAAATACATATGTGAGTACTTATAGCTTTGTTTTATTTGTGTAGTTGTTTTTAAATTCTGACATCCAGTAAAACCTTCCTGGGATCCCGAAGTAGCTCACTTCTTGAGTAAAGGCAGGGCTTTGGCCCCTGCTCCAGTGCTAACAGCCATACCTGCATACCTGGCCATGACTCAGCCTTCTGGCCCCTACTTCCTACTCCCAGTGGAGGTGACAAATTCCAGCTTGGTTAGCTGTGGGCCTTGCAGGAAGTACATGGCATCTTTCTTTTTTTTTTTTTTTTTTTTTTTTCCTTTTTGTCTTTTTTCGTGACCGGCAATGGGATTGCAACCCTCGGTGTTGCTCCCGCACCTCGCTCAGCCAGTGAGCGGCCGGTCTGTATGTGGGATCCGAACCCTTGGCGGGAGCGCCGCTGCACTTCCCAAGCGGCGCACTGTAGCAGTGCGCCACCGGGCCGGCCCCGTGGCATCTTTCTAATATCAATGTAGCCAGCAGGATTTTAGTGAATAGTGTTCTTCTTGGCCTAAATAAGTATCCTTAACAGCAGTCACCTTTCCCCCCAAGATAATGTATGCAAGATTCACATCTGTCATCTTTGTTATTTGCTGCACAGGTAGTTATCAGACATTGTCCTTGCCTTCGATCAGATTGGAATCACAGAGAAGTAGCCAACCACATAGGTGGAGCTGAAAGAATATAGGCTTTAGAATTAAAAAACAAAAACAAACACAAAAATGAGGCTCAGATCTTGCTCTGCTATTTACTGTCTGAGTTTCCATGTCTCTTGATTTTTCTGAGCCTTACCTTCTCCCCCCATATAACTAGTGTGATCCTTCCTGATTCTGGTGATTACACAGCAGGGACTCAGCAAAGTGGCCTCCAATCTCCCCGACATGAAGCACAATATAAATTGAAGAAAAGAGAGATAACTGATGAGAGCCTACCTATCCGACGTGTTTCTGGCTCAGAGCAAATGAGGAAAAAGGTCAAGAGAATGCAGTACTTCCACTCCAAGCCCTTGGCAGGTGCTGTGGGGCATGCAGACATGTTTTGGAAGTACCCCTGACCTTAAGGAATTCACAGACCAGAGTACTTCATGAATCTCATGAATCATGTGAGATATGTTCACATTAACACATTATATATAAACACATTAGCTTATTTCACATTGATATGTAATATTCAGACAAACATTTAGGAGTTGGGTGTATTAAAGAAAAATAAACTTCATTTTACCTTAAATTTCTTTCTTTTCTTTTCTTTTCTTTTTTTTTTGTGAGCAGTAAGGGGATCATAACCCTTGGCTTGGTGACGTCCGCACCGTGCTCAGCCAGTGAGCGCACCAGCCATCCCTATATAGGATCTGAACCTGCGGCCTCGGTGCTCCCAGCCTCGCACTCTCCTGAGTGAGCCACGGGGCCGGCCCTACCTTAAATTTCTGATTAAAGAAGTGCTAAAAAGGTTCATTTTCATTCATTCATTCATTCAAGGAATATTTATTAAGCACCCAGTTCATCCCAGCCCCTTGCTGAGAATCGGAGATTAAAAGACTAGTGTTTTTGAGAATGAAGAAAATATAGATGATACAGAAATGAAGTTTGATTTTAAAATGCTATCTTACATTTGCAGCAGGATGGAAGAAAGGCTACTGCCTCTTGAGGCCTCAGGGAGCTCAGACTAGAGATGAGGAAACAGCGCTGAGACAGTGTGAGCCACTGTACTGGGTCACTCAGCTCATGGGAGGCAGAGACTGGATGCAGACATCCCATGTGGAAGCCACAGCCCCAACTCTTCCCAGCATTTAGCTCTGACATGACCATCATCTATCTCATTTGCTCCTCATGCCCACCTTATGAAGCATGAAAGGCCTGGGTTCTTCCTCATCCTTTATGCCTGTGAAAATTAGATTTAGAGAAGTCAAGCAGTTTGCCCATGGTCACACAGTTTGTTGGTGAAAAAGCCGGGTTTGGAAACAGTGTCTCTCTGGCTTCAAAGCCACGGCTGTTGGTCCCTGAGACTCTATGAAACAAACCCAGAGACATGGGCTGAGTGTGATGGACAGGTGGGGCCTATAGTCCAAAGAACAACAGCCCATTTGCTGTCCTCCTTCCTTCCTGCTCCAGGGTGGTCTCATCGCACTGCTGCTGCTGCTGCTGGTCTTCACTGTGGCGCTGTATGCCCAGCGGCGCTGGCAGAAACGTCGCCGCATCCCCCAGAAGAGCGCAAGCACGGAAGCCACTCACGAGATCCACTACATCCCATCGGTGCTGCTGGGTCCCCAGGCGCGGGAGAGCTTCCGTGCCTCCCGGCTGCAGACCCACAATTCTGTCATTGGTGTGCCCATCCGGGAGACCCCCATCCTGGATGACTATGACTATGAGGAAGATGAGGACCTGCCCCGGCGGGCCAACCATGTCTCCCGTGAGGACGAGTTTGGCAGCCAGATGACCCACACCCTGGATAGTCTGGGACGGCCAGGGGAAGACAAGGTGGACTTTGAGAAGAAAGGTGAGTCCTCCCTGCTGCATTGCATCTTCCAGGGGGCATTTTGGGGAGCTGGGGAGAGGCACATGAGGCAGTTGGGGACACAGGCAGTATCTTCTGGGATAAGCCATTTCATATTTATGGCCAACCACTTTGCTGGATTGTCAGAGTTTGTCTTCTCAGGTCCTTCAGAAGTGACAGGAGGAAAAAAAGAGAGAGAGAGAGAGCATCAGTGCTCCTGGAGTTGAGTTTTGAGGGGCATCAAAGATATGCAGCCCAACATCCCTCCAGTGTTTCTTGATTACTTCCCTTGACAGCCTTCTCACTCCTTAAAAGAGAACCCACCCCATTTCCAGACAGTACTGACTATTAGAAGGTTTTTTTCTTTTTTTAAATTATATATACATGTGGGGTACAACATTGATTTTCAATAATTGTGTAGAATGTGTGGTGGTTAGATCAGTCTAGTTAGCTGATTCAGCATTACACTATTCAATCATTCTTTGTGTCCATTAACCAATTCCTCATTAGTCCTCCTCCCTTTCCCCCTCCCCTCCCCTTTTAGAAGGTTTTTTCTTATACTGAGTTACAATCTGTGTCACTAGTCCTTCATGTCCCCAAAGGAAGTGATCTGACCTTCCTTCTCCAAGGCAGCTCTTGGAAAATTTGACAGAAGGAAAAGGCACCCTGTTACTTCTGGAAATCAACCTACATAAACAACTGCAGTTTCTTCAGTTAGACTTACGAGAAATATTTTTCAGATATTTCACAATCCTGGTCACTGTCCTCCAGATGGAGATTCTAATTTTTCACATCCTGAAGTGTAACACCTGAGCCAACACTCTTTTTCATCAAAGTAGTCACTCTGGTGCTAAGCAAAACGGGGCTTTTAACTCCCTCTTGCCAGATGTTATGCTTCTGTTGATGCAGCTTGGGTTCATGTTTGTTTTTTTGCAGTTATTGCTGGCTCATATTGGACCTTCTTCCCTCCATCCATCCTTCCCTCCTTTGCTTCTTTCCTTCCTTCCTTCCTCCCATCCTTCCCCAAGCTGGAAGGAAGTGCATACTGTTGATAAACAATCTGCAGTCAGGAGGCAGAACGATATAGACACCAATTTTCTCATCCACTATTACTCGTGCTGTGACCTTAGACAAGTCACATACTCCTCTCCCATCAAAGTGGCATGATGCTAGTATGCTCCCTTGCAGAGCAGTAGGGGAGCTTAAATGAGGTAACACATGCAAAGTGTCTGGTACACAGTCAATGTTCCATATACATTGCTGTTATTGTCATACAGACCATCAGCCTTCCAAGTGCTTACACTGTGCCAGACACCAAGACAGACCCTGGGATAGAGGTGAGGAAAGCAGGACCTCTGCCCTTAAAGAACATTACAGAAATCTTCCTGGGAGATAACTTGTGGAACATGGTTGGGGAGGGATAGAAAATGAAAGCAAAGCTTGAAAAGAGGCCATCATCTCTCTGCGCCACACAGTGAGGATGTGGCAGAGCTGAGGTAGGGACCCAGATTCCAGCCAAGACTACCGGCCAGAAAGAACCTGTTCTAGATGGCTGTTGTTCATGCTCAGAACAGGCCACAGGGCATTGCAGTGAGGCCCTGTTTCATGGAGGGTTGGTACTTCTTGAAGAGAATGCAGCCTTGCAATTTCAGGTGCTGTACATTTCACCTGCCAGCAAACCCTCTCTGAGTTAATCTCAAAGATGGGGAGTAGGTGACTGACGAATGCATGACAGAGACAACATAGTGAGTAGAGTTGTGCTGGATCCAGAGGGTGCACAGGCTGCTCCTGAAAAGTAGAGGAAGGTGCTCATGGCCTCCTCTCCCCAACTGGATGCTCTAGAGCTTGAGTACATCCAGACGTACCACGCCATAGCGGCTTACAGATGACTCTTCCCCTTGTGTTTTCTTCAAGCAGAATCTTTTCAAGCAACAACAAAACCAGGCTCTTATTCTCTGAAAGACCAACACTAGCATTGAAAAGCACAGCACAGAAGCTGTACAGAGAGTGAGTGGTGGGTGCCTGAAAAATAAGAGCCTGGTAGAGTGGAGGCCAGTGGACTCGGACCTGGATCCCCCTGCCAGCTCACTGGTAGTGTGGCCTCGTGCAGATCTCAGCCACTCTGTGTCTCCATGTCTTCACATCTTGGGAGAGGACCATAACATGTCTCTGTTATGGGGTGACCGGGGCAAAGTCATGAGTTTTGCAAGAATGGGCAAGTATTCAAAGGCCAGGCAGTCCATATAAAAGTGATCACATAGCACTTTGAAATTATAGTGCCAAGGGCTAATCCCACCTGCACATTTTATACTTAGAATTTGCCTTTAAATTCACACTGCTTCATACTTGAGCTGTGTCAATCTGCTTTTCACCTTGGACCACCAAGAAATAGAAAGGAGAGTTTGGACGTTGGAGGGAGAAAGCTTTATTATAAAGCGACAATTGTTTGAGGTCCCAGGCCTCAAGAGTAGTGTACTGAGCAGCCGTCATGATCAGCTGATACACACTGGTGTAGCCATACCCTTTCTTAAATATCAGAATTCCTTCTGTGCCAGTTGATAAGTAGTTCGCTGCCCTGACCCCCGCAGCGTCCTCCTGCTGTCTGTCCAACAGACAGTGACTCCCCAAGGAGTCTCCTGAACTTCACACTATCCAGCAACAGTGTGGCTTTGGGACACTACTCCAGCAGTATGTTTGCATCTTTTCTGGCTACTTAGTGCCTGTGACTTAGAAGTTTTCAGGTGTTGTGAATATCACCCATGATATCACCTTAGCAAGTGTCTGAGAAGTCATGCCAATATGTGATGCTTAGTGCTGTTTGGTACATAACAGAAACTCAATAATACATTTTAATTCTGATTCTCCTTATTCCTCTTTAAATTTATGTTTCCCTTTTTTGAATAGTATGCGTGGAAATATAAGGAAATTGAAAAACGAATTTATTTCTTTATCGAAGGATGAAGAAGGAACTAGATAAATGGATATTGGGTTTTCTTAATTTCATTTTATTATTATGAAAGAAATACATGCACTTTGTAATAGTAGGAAGAAAGGAAAGAAGGAAGAAGAGGGACAGATGGAGCAGGGAGGGAGGGAGGGAGAAAGGAAGGGGGGGGAGAGAGAGAGAGAGAGAGAGAGAGAGAGAGAGAGAGAGAGAGAGAGA